GATACTCAAGAGAATCTCTTCTGCAGTGTTAAAGACTTCATACAAGAAGAATGTAGCACTCCATATGGAACGGACCTCTTCCTAACACTTGTACAACTGTTTAAGCAGAAACTCCAAGACTGTAGATTTTAATCATTCTCCACCACTAACTTGAATGACTGAGAGGAAATTAATGAACATTTTTAAAATTATGCCTCATTTCCAACATATAAATTGCTAAAAGGATTTGAAACCTGTAAAATTTCATCAGTTCAACTGATAAAGTACCTTTAAATATAAAGTGCTATTCTATGGTGTTGGGAAATTCGTGTGTTAGGTAGAAATAGCTAAAGATAATTTTTAAAAGGCAAAGGAGAAGGGAGAGAAGTACTTAATCTGTAATCATGCAAGTCCTGAGTTTAAATCTTACCTTAATTACTTATTAGTATGTGATACTTAACCTGAGTTTGTCTTAAGCTGGCAACCCATACCTAGAAAAGGGATCTGTCTCCTGTAGCTATTTCTTATTATTTGGATCACTATAAGATAAGCCTGAGGCCACCTGATGAGAGATAAAAGAACAATCTTTCTTGATCCTCTAATTTTAGCACTTTCTCCCTCTTTGTATTATATTTACTTATGCAGGTACATATTGTCTCCCAGTAGGATAAAGGCTCCTCAAGGACAGAAACTAAATTCATTTCTATCTTTGTATGCCCAGAACCTAAAAAAGCACCTTTCTTGTGGTAGGGCCTAATTACATGTTTGTTGATTTGAATTGAACTAATATATCCTGAGAGAAGCTTTATTCAAAGATATAGAACAATCTTTCAGATCCCAAAATGAATTTAGCTTTGATGGCCATAAATTTTGATAGCTGAAACCTAGCAAGATATCTTGGGGTTTATGGGCTAGATTTCTTTCTTAAGGACCAAGTCACTCTGGCTCTCATTTGATTGGCCCCACTTAGTGGTCACTGTTTGGGCCCTAATGGCTCAGAATGAACATAAGTAGCAATTGTTTCAATTTTGGTCAGAAACCCAGAGGGGCTTCCCCTCCCAAATTGTTTTTTTCATTTGACTGGGTAAAAGAGGCCATTCTTTGTCTCATTTTTTACCTAGCCTTAATTACTGAATGGGCAGTTGCTTCCCTCAACCTGAGACCTGGGAAAGACCTTACTTAAAAAGGCCAAAGTCTCCCACTATATCCAGGTCCATCTCCAGTCATCCTGATTTATATCTTGCGACTGGACCCAGTTTGTTCTGGAGGAGAAAGTGAGGCTGTGATTTTGCATAGCCCTTTCTCCAATTCATTGCATCACCTTCCTGATACCATGGTCCTCCTCAAGAATAATGGACAAAACAAGTAAACAAAGAAATAAAAAAAAGTTTTGTCTTCCATAAAGGTCGCTGGAGTGACTGACAGCTGCTGATATCAAGCAAAGGCAATAGGAATGACAAGTATAGTTCACTCTTTATGCTTTTATATTTGGGAAAAGGGGTTGCTTCTGAGGTGTAATCTTCTCTTCCTCAATACTACATCCGTTTGGGCTTGGTACTATTTTAAATTGGAGTCCATTATCTGACTCACAGTCTTTTTGTTTTTTTTGAGACAATTGGGTTTAAATGAGGTGCCCAGGGTCACACAGCTAATAAGTGTCATTTGTCACACAATCTTTTCTCAGTCAAATCAATCAAAAGGGCTTTAAACAGACAAGAAAGGCAGAGACTGACTAACCACAGTGACAACAGCTTAAAGATTTGCAAGTACTTTACATGCATTATTGCATATGAACCTCACAACAATCCAGTAGTTAGTGGCCGTGTTAACAATTTTAAAGATGAGAAAATTGAGCCTCAAAGTAACTGAGTGACACACCCATGGTCACACAATTCAGAAATGTCTGGGATGAGATTCAAACCCAAGTCTTCCTCAATCCGGGTCCATTACTTTATACATTATATCACAGTGCTCTCTAGAAAGCTGCATATTCACCAAGCCAGATACTTTAGTAGCTACAAAGTAGGAAAAAGAATAATAGTATATATGTCCAAAAATGGAGAGGAGAAAAGATCTGAGAAAAGAACCAGTAACAAAAGCCATGATACCAAATGTCAATAAATAAATGAACAATGAAAAGTTAATGAAGAAAATAAACTTGAGAATATGATTCAAATGTATCACTGAGAATTAGCTGGATCAGATCCATGATTTGAATAAAGCTCTAAAAGGGTTTATCTTATTCAAAAGACATATAAAAGTGAAGGTAGAGCCAACTGAGAAAATGCATAAACGAGAGGGATCAATCATGATAGAAAAAATTTGGGTAAAGAATAGAGGTAAAAAAACAAAAGAGATATTGCTAATACCATGCAGAATATTCCTGCCTCCCTTAGGCGAACACCATTCCATTGCACCAGTCTCCAGCCCCCTTCTAAAAGAGTAGAAACAACATTCCATCTAGCAGGCTCCCCCTCCCTTCCAGGGAAAATAAAGGCAATTCCATCAAGGTTCTAGCATGGTGTCCTTCCTAGGGGGAAAAGGAGTAATACCATTTCCTCAACTCTTAGTATGAGTCCCAGACCTGAACTGCACCCAGAGACCAAACCCCTAAGAGGTGAAGGAGAAAGAATAAACATGTATTGTGTGCCAGATACTATGCTAATATTAGGACAATGTTATGTTACTTATTTAATCTTCACAAGCTGGTGAGCTATTATTATTATTATTTCCATTTTATAGTTAAGGTGACAGGCAGAGGTTAAATGACTTGCCCATGCTAATACAGCTGGTAAGTGTTACACTGGATTTGAATGCAGATGTTCCAGACTCTAGACTAGGTCACTTAATTACAATGAAAACCTAACTGAACTTACTCCTCAATGATTTAATAAATTTCTCCCTGGTCACATATTTTATAACCCAATGATTCTAAACCCCTGACTGCCATTCATTCAGACCTGTTCCCTGTCCACAACTGTCCAATCCCTTATTCCCATTACTCTTAAAGTTACCATTTCCCAAAAACTATCCACCTTCCCCTTGTGCTTGTTGGAAAGCTTGCTCACCAACAACTCTAATCTTTTTTCCTCTGAATTCACTTAACACCTTAAGGATCAGTGGAAGAAAGTGGATATGTTTATCCCTTAGAAGACTTAGTGGAGAATATGCTAGCTGGCTTCAAGTATTTTGAAGGCAATTACATAGCATTCATTACAAACTTTCTAATAATAGCAGCTATCTAGAAATTGAATAGATTTACTTGGAAGAGGATTCCTCCTCACTAGAAGTTTTTAAGGCTAGATGATCATTTGTTTGGTATGTTATTTAAAGGATGCTTGTCTAGGTACAAAATGAACTGAGGTGTGACTTTAAGCAACTCATCTACCCTCTCCTGTCACTTAACACTTAATTTAACTCAGTTTCCTTATCTGTTAAATAGGGATAGCACCTAACTCAAAGGGTTGTGAGAATCAAATAAGATAACTGTAACGTGCTTAGCATAGTGCAAGGCACACAGCAAGCACTATATAAATGTTAACTATTATTACTGTTATTAGAATAATACTTGTACTACCTACTCAAATAAGAGGTATTGTAAAGTACTTAGCTTGGATTCCAATTCCTCCATGAAATCTTTCCTTCTAATAAAGATGATCTGTTCCTCCTCAAATTTTCTTCACATATTTCCTCAATAGATCTCCTTGGCAAATTTATTTTTGTATATATCATTAGAACAGGGATTTTTAACAGCTTTGGCAGAATGGTGAAACTTATGGACCTTTTCTTAGCATTTTTAAAAAAATAACTGAGGGAAATGCTAACTTTCACATAGAGATTAATGAAAACGATAATGTAATTTCCACCCACCCCCCATTCAAGTTCATCTATTCCCTGAAAGCTGTCCACTGACCTACTGATTAATAATCTCTACAACGGAATTTAACCTCTTTGAGGGCAAGGACAATATTCTTTTCCATCTTTGTATCTTTATAGGATGCTATATGCCTTTAATAAAGGCTTGGTGAATTCAGGTTTTCTAGTTACAGAGCTCCACACAAATTCATTACTTAGCTTGTTAAAGCCCTTGCCTCACAACCATCCTATAAAGCACATAAATTGTATCCTAGCTAAGTCATTTAATCTTTCTTGGTCCCAGTGTCCACAGCTGAAAAATAGGAATCAATTTGCCTCAGAGCTGGCGTAAGGCTCTAACAAGAATGCATGCAAAGTACACTGTAAAACCTTAAAGCACTATGAAAATATAAGACTATTACAAGTGGTGTCAAGATTGCACTTCAATTTAATTCAAAAAGCATTTCGCAATAACTTACTTTGTGCCCAGGGGCCAATCTTAGAGCTGGAAATACAAAAGAAAAAGTCCCTGCCCACAAGGAGCTTACATTCTCCTGGACCTTATCCCAGAGCTGCTACGTAAATACTGTACATTTGGAGTCAGTCCCCTCCCACAGGACAAGTGCCCAATCGTCCTTTCAGGAGACATAACCTCGTTATCCCCAACAACGAGAGTTCCCTCAGGAAAATAAACGATGAGGGTTGGGGGACGCCGCGGGTGTAGACCATAGCAAAAGTGCTTCCTCCGCCTTCCATCCCGGGGACCCAGGCCCTTTCCACCCGTGACCTCGGAGGCCACAGGAAGCAACTTCGGTGGACTGGCGACGTCAACAGAAGCAGCTCAGCTCCTGGGCAAAGCTCGAGGAAGATGTCAAAGAGGTGGGGAGGAAAAAAGGAACGAAACAAAAAACTACCAGGCCGCCAGTAACTCTGGTCTCAAGCTCAGAGTACACCACTTCCCCTATTCTCGAAAAGAACCGGAAAAGGCCGGCCGACCTAAGCGCCTGCGCAATAAGCACGCAATTATTCCTGCCTCTCCCGACTTAGGTCTAAGCCCCGCCCCCGCCTCACTCATTCTTTTCCTACTCCTCCCAGGATACAGAGCTGCGCAAGCGTAGTCGAGGATTTGTCTGTTTGTTCCCTTTACAGCAGTATCAATAAAGCTTAGCTAGGAGTTACTCCCTTTTCCCCAGCAAGATGGCGGAGTACGATCTTACTACTCGTATCGCGCACTTTTTGGACCGCCATCTGGTCTTCCCGTTGCTCGAGTTTCTCTCAGTCAAGGAGGTGAGAGAGCCACTAGGGCTGCAAAGAAGGCCTGGGAGCCGAGGTGGCCTTTGTTTCGTCTGTCCGGCTTCAGGGGAAGGCCCCAGGCCTTCTACACGTGTAAAGCGGCCTAGCGGCCGGCGGGTTTTCCTTCTTCCGCCGGAGCCGGCTGGGGCCTCCAACCTCGGGGACTCGGACAGGGTGGGAGACGACGAGGAAAGGACTTGGTTTTCCTTGGACTCCTTAGGCCCAAGGCGCTTCTGCGGCCCACTGGACTGTTGGTCGAGCGCCTAGTATTTCTTCTTTCCTTTAAGGTCCCTCGCGTATGAGTTTTAGGAACAGGAGGGAGCAAAATTACTTGCATTTCTTTTACAAATCTGAGGAAACGTGGGGACTTCGTCTAACTCGCCCAGCTTTCTTCCTGGTCCTAATGCCCTTTCACACAGATCACAATTTTGGTGTCTCTTTCCATAATGTTAGATTAATCTCCAATCTGTTCTTCCTTGTGTTCACCCCCTTTCTCCCTTTTCCCACCTCTTCCTTCCCCTCCCCCCTTTAGATTGCTTAGAAATTCTTTTTATTTTGTTCAAGTTGTTAGTCCAGTTCTCTTTACCCTGTAGAAAAAAGTAAAAGGTAAAGCAGGAAAGAATTTGTCAGTCTTAATGAAATATGTGTACTTGTTCTGTTTGTTTTCGAGATGGGTATGTAGGCCGTCTTGGACAAACTTGGGTTGTTTAACCGCTTCCCTTAAAAAATATTGTAAAGAGACCAGTACAGTGTTCTCATGAACTTGCTCATTCGGGAGCTTAAGATAAAGAATTTTTAAAAACATTTTGTTGTTCAGTTTTGTTTAGTTACAGGCTATTTGGTATGTGACACATTGTCTACTTAGTTCAGGCAGTAAACTGTAGAATTAGATCCCCGAAAAGTTTTTTTAATTCTTTGGACGTTGTCTCTCACTATTTCTTTGGTAATGATAGACTCATTTTGCGGAACCAGTCTTGATGCTTAAGTGCTTTTTATTTCTAAACTCTTGCTTACAAAACAAAAACCAAAAGTGTTTCAGTGTATTCTGGGTGTGTTTCTTAATGTGCTTGGTAAGTTTGTAATTACCCTAGGTAAAGACAGAAGACGGAAAACTGTCCAGGGTCGCTTTAACTGATGAAACTTTTCTTCTTAGGTCCTTGGCTAGACAAATTTTGAACTTTGATTTTGTTTTTCTTTGTATTATTTGTGTTTGGGGCCAGAAGATATGCATTCATTTCCTTTCTCTGATAATTGGTAAATAAGTGGATCACCTTCCCTTCTGTGATAATAATGCTTGTGCTGCATGTTTCCAGGATAGTCAGGAAAACTGAAGTACTCTATAAATGTAAGGCAAAGAGTTATGTGGATGTAGTAGCAGTAGTAGTCCTGAAGGCTTTTAATCCTTCTTTAAATCCCTTCTCTGACATTTACTAACTTTGGACAAATCACTTCCAATATGCCTGTGGCAGCTCTCATGGATTTGTAGTAGTTGAACTAGTCAGTAAATATTTTTAAGGCTGTTAAGTGCTAAATCTAGTGCTGAAAATACAAAGAAAGGTAAAAAAGACAGCCCCTGTTCTCAAGGAGCTTGAAGTTTAATGGGGGGAGACAACATGCAAACAATTATGTACAAACAAGCTCATACACAGGATAAATTTCGAATGGAATTAAAGGGGATTGGGAAAGGCTTTCTGTAGATTTTTAACTGAAACTCAAAGCAGGAAGGAGGGAGAACATTTCAGGCATGGGAAACAACCATTGATAAAGTGTCTTGTTTGAGGAACGTAAAGGAGTCCAGTGTTACCAGATAATAGAGTATATGAGGGATGAGGAGTTATAAGGTGTAAGAAGATTGTAAAGGTTGGGGTAGTGCAGTGTATGAGAGGCTTTGAATGCCAAACTGGGGATTTTATATTTGACCCTGTAAGTAATAGCCACAGAGTTTATTGAGGAGTCATAAAATAGGCTAGGAATATCACTTTGACTGCTGAATGGAATCACATCACATAATTTGAGAGTTGGAAGGAATTCTAAAAAGGAGTACATAAGGGGCAGGTAGGTGGCTCAGGGGATAGAGCACTGGCCTTGAAATCAGGAGGACCTGAGTTCAAATGCAGCCTCAGACCAAACACTTGACACTCACTAGCTCTGTGACCCTGGGCAAGTCACTTAACCCCAACTGCCTAAAAAAAAAAAAAGGAGTACATAAGTCTCACCAGATTGCCAGAGGAATCTGTAAGGGGAAAAATAAGAACCACAATCATTTCATATGTATCGGTGGACTAACAGTGTCAAAATGCCCCAATCACCTGGTGGCCTAAATAGTGAAAAGGAAGAAAAAAATTAAAACAAACTATATAAAGCAGATTGTCTTTTCCACTGTTCTGATGACTCTTCGTTGGCCTTGCAGTCTTGTCTAAAAGGACCCTCCCCCATCTCCTACCCTTGAAAAGGGAATATCTTCCCTTTCAGATAACACAGTTTGCCTGGTGTGTGGAAAATATCTCCTCAGAAGCCTCTTCCCTTTTTTCTACCTTGAATGCTTTCCCCCCACTTTCTCCCATTCAATGATTGAGGCTTAATAATTAATAAGAAAACAATCAAATAAGACCAATTAATTAAAAGAAAACAATTAGCCAGGATACAAAATTAGGTAATCCTGATTTCTAATTGGAGGAAAGATTAGGGACTTTCCAAGTTGGAAGGGAGAGAGTTAAGGGGTGCAATTTCCTGAAATCAGAAAAAGAGGCAAACCACTCCCTCCAAGTGTCTATATTCGATAAACAGTAACTAGCCAGAGCAGGGCTAGTTTTTTTTATTTTTATTTTTTTATTTTTAGGCAGTTGGGGTTAAGTGACTTGCCCAGGGTCACACAGCTAGTGTCAAGTTGTTTGGTCTGAGGCCGCATTTGAACTCTGGTCGTCCTGACTTCAGGGCTGGGTTCTCTATCAGCTGTGCCGCCTAGCTGCCCCAGGGCTAGTTTTCAAGTAAGGCATATGGGTTGCTTGAGATGTATAATTGTGAGAAAACTCCTTGTGTCAGTTTTCAGATTTGATTGGATTTCTGGTCAGCATAGTATAGGTCCATAGTTAGGAGTTTTTAAGCAACAGGTAGAGGTGGTGGTCCAGCTTGAGTAACAAGATGGAGTCAGTGTGGTTCACTCAATTCCCACTACCATTTGCTGTTCTAATCTCCTCAGGAGGCATCTATGGTTAGTGGTCATGACTTGGATGAAAATCAGGAGTGGTCAGACAGAAGAAGAACCAGGAGAAAATAATGTCTAGGACTTTAGCTAAGAAGGGGAAGCAAGAGAGGATAATTAATAGGTGCCAGGGATGGTAGGATCATGTGAGATACTTTTTTAAGGATGGAGGCATCATAGGTATATATTTGTAGGCAGCAGGGAAGGAGCCAGGAGAGAGAGAGAGAGAGTTTGAAGGTTAGAGAAAATGGTGATGATAGAGGGGGCAATCTTCTGGAGAAGGTGGGAAGTTTTAGAAGGGACCTTAGTGGACATTTAATCCAACCTTCAACTTGATGAAATACTTAATGGACTGCTACTTCCTTCTCTAGGGTTGAGTTGAAGTTACAGAAAGTTGGATTTCATTTTGATTTAAGGAAAATTGTGGATTTCTCCCTAATTGGAAGTTTTCAAGCAGAGACATTATGAACAGTTGTCATGAATATTGTGGAAATGATTCTTGTACAGGGACTGATTTGACTATATTGCCTTGGATGAGGTTCTTTCCAAATCTGAAGCTCTTTGATTCTGAATTATATATAGTCCTTGTATTCAAGTGCTTATAAGATAGGGAGCCTATCTAAACACTGGAGCCTAAAACATGTATGCAAATAATCAGTACATACCAGTGACAAAAACAGTCCCTTCAAATAGCTTTCTGTGGTATACTCAGAAATAAATAAGTAGAAACTAATTGAAGGAGAGAGGAAAACCAGAGGAGTCAGGAACCTTCAAGGAAGCTAAGAATCTGGAGAGTTGGAATATGTCAAGAGCTATCAACAGCCATATTAGAAAAAAGCTCCATATTACTACTGAAATGAAATTAAGCCAATTCTGAAGTTCTATTTCATACTCATAAAATTAGTAAGGATGAAGATTAAAAAAAGGAAAATGATAATTGTTAGAAAGGTTGGGGTGGGGTGGGGCAGGGATGGGTAGGTACATCATTGCCCTATTGGTGGAGATGTGCATTGATCTAGCTATCCTGGAAAGCAATTTGAAACCATTTCCCAAAAGTGACTAAACTGCTTACTGACCCAGTGATACCACTGGGAAGCCTATACCTCAAAGAGATTGAACAAAGGAGAAAAAGGACCCCATATATACAAATATATTTATAGTAAAGAATTGGAAACTATGAGAATATCAATTGGAACCATCAATGTTTTGTTTGCTTGAACAAATTATAGTATGTGACTATAGGGGAAACTTGTTTTGCTACAAGAAATTATTGAAGGGATGGTTTCAGAGAAACTTGGAAAGACTTATAAGAACTGATGGAAAGGAAAGTGAGCAGAACCAAGAACAGTTGATAAAATAATAATATTATAAAGAAAACAACTTTGAAAGACTTAAGAACTTTGATCAGTGAAATGACCAATCACTATTTCAGAAGTGTGCTACCCACTTCTCAGCAGAGGTGATAAACTCAAGGTACAGAATGAGACATACATTTTTGGACATGATGGAGGAAGGATTTGTTTTGCTTGACCATGCATATTTTTTCCCCAAGGGTTTTGTTTTCTTTTTTCAACTGTGGTTTGGTTGAGAGGGAAGGTACCCCTCTCACCCCTGAAAAAATGAAAAAGAAGGTCATAAAAGCAGTTTAAGTTCAAAACAATTTTCAAAGAGGTGACTGCTTTCAAGGTGTTTTGAAACTACCATCTCCAGCCTCTTCTGATAGAGTAGGAGTCAAACATTCTGCTGATATGCCTGGTGTCTTCCATCTCCTGCTAGATACAGCTTTTCCCTTTGACACCTCCGGCCTTGCAACTGCTGTTTCACCTTCCATTCTGGGAAGACGAGAGTTGGGGAATTAAGACTTCTTTCTTCCAGTGTGAGGATTCCATTTCCATCTCCTGCCACACCTTTTTTTATCTAATCTCCACTTTTCAGAGGGAAAAGGAGTATCGAAGGCAGGGCCTCTCAACTGAACTTCTGACCCTGTGAGTCCCATCTCACAGTTCACTTGCCCCTAGTCCCATCTCCAAATTCCTTTGAGGAGTGGTACCTTCCACTCAATGATGAACAAACATTCTCACACCTTATCATATCCTGCATATCTAAAGTGATTCTACACTCCTGTAGGTCTTCATCCAAACAACATTTCCCACCCACCCCCAACATCCAATTCCTTATTCTCATCCCCCCCCAACCTTCGCACTCCAAAGTTTCAATCAAACTCTACTCAGCCCTTCCACTGTGCCCTATAGAATGCATGTACCATAGGCAACAAACTTCTCTTCATCTTAAATCTTTCCCTCTTTCATTCCTTGTTGTTCCCCTTTTTATTTACTGTAGAAGACACCACTATTCTCCAAGTCACTCAAGCTTGCAACCCTAGAATCATCTTCAGCTCCTCACTCTCTTAACACTCCTCCCAACATCCAATTTGTCTCCAGCACCTATCAATTTTCACCTTTGCAACATCTCTCAAATAAGTCCCCTTCTCTCACCTGACACTGCCACCATTCTGGTGAAGACTTTCATCACCTCATGCCTTGACAGTTGCGATAGTCTGCTGGTGGTGAGTCAGCCTGCTTCAGATCTCTCCCTGCTCAGTCTACCTTTCAGCTCCCAAAGTGATTTTCCTAAAGTGAAGGTCCAACCATGTTTCTCCTCTACTCATTAAACTGTGGTGGCTTTCTATTGCCTACTGGATCAAAAAGAAAATATTCTGTGTGGCATTCAAAGCCCTTCATAACCTAACCTCCTCCTACCTTTCCAGTTTTCTTACACCTTACTCCCTAGAATGTATTCTTCGATCCAGCTGGCCTCCTAGATGTTTCATTTACAGGCACTCCATCTCTAACTCTGGGCATTTTCTCTGGCTGTCCACCGTGTTTGGAATGCTCTTCTTCTACTGTCTTCACTGGCTTCCTTTCAGTTCCAACTAAAATCTCACCTTCTGTAGGAAGCCTTACCCAACCCTCTTAATTCTTGTGTCTTCCTTCTGTTAATTATTTCCTATTCTCTGTATGGCATTTTATAGATAGTTTTTTGCATGTTGTCTCCTCTATTCTATTTTGAGCTCCTTGAGGCCAAGGACTGATTTTTGCCTCTTTTGGTATCTTCAGCACTTAGCACAGAGCCTGGAAAGTACTTAATAAATGTTTATTGGTTGATTGATCCCTGCAAATGGAATGTTGAGTTCTGAGAATTGTAAGTAGGCCAGTTTGGCTGATGTCGGGTATATGGCAGGATTAATGTAAATTGCGTTTAGAGAAATGAGCTGGTGTCTCTTTATCGAGGGCTTTAAATGCTAAACTGTGACTTCTGTATTTAAGCGTAGAAGCAGCAGGAAATTGCTGAAGGTTCTTGAGCTGGGGAATAACATGGTCAGATCTGTGCTTTAGGAAGATTATTTTGGAAACTGGGTCAAGGATGGGTGGAGAGATGGCAGATTTGGAAGCAGGGAAATCTTTTAGTAAGCTACTTGAGTTTAGGTATTATTTCATTTTTTATATTTTTTTCTGTACTAATTTGCACATTGTTCCACGTAAAACAAGTTACATTCCAACCTAATTGGCCTTCTTACTGTCTTTACTTGACGTTGCATCTTCAGCCTCTTTGCCTTTGCATAGGTATCTCTTCATGCTTCGAATGGCCTGCATCCTCACCTTTGCCTTTTTTTTTTTCGTTAGGCAGTGGGATTAAGTGACTTGCCCAGGGTCACACAGCTAGTAAGTGTTCCGGTGTCTGAGACCAGATTTATGCTCAGGTTGTCCTGAATCCAGGGCCAGTACTGTATCCCCTGACACCTAGCTGCCCCACCTTTGCCTTTTGAAACCTCTATATCAACAGTTCTCAAGCTTTTTGGTCTCAGGACCTCTTTACATTTTTAAAAATTATTGAGGATCCACTTTTTGTTTTGTTTTTGATGTGGGTTATGTCTATTGATATTTACAATATTAGAAATTAAAACTGATAAACTTTGTAAATGTATTAATTCATTTAAAATTACAATAATAAACTGTATGCATGTTAATATAAATAATATTTTTTGAAGAAATTTCTAAACATAATTTAGTCAATTAGTATTTATATTTGTTTTTTATAGTGAGAAGAGTGGCATTTTTTCCATATTTTTATAAATCTCTAATGTCTGACATTATGGAAGACTAGATTCTCATGTCTCTTGCAGTTTAGACTGTGCAATCTATTGTTTAAAGTAGTTGGAAAATATCTGGCCTCAACCAGTATAATTTTTTAAATGACAATTTTACCCTGTCATCCCCATTAAATTACTAAAAAATTATTTTATTGAGTTAGAAAAAAAAATGACAAAGTTCATTTGGTAGAACAAAAGGTCAGGAACTTCAAAGAAACCAGGGAAAAAATGTAAAGGAAGTAGATTCCTCATTATCAGACCTTAAACTATATTAAAAGGTGAGAGGATTTTTGAAGTATAAAAAGGGTAATTTCTATTATTTTAAATTAAAATTTTCTTGTATAAATGAAACCTATCCAGCCAAGAATAGAAGGAATGCAGAAATTGGGGGGGGCTCTCAAACAGTCTCAGATAGGGTGGGATTGGGTTGGACTATAGCTGTGGTATAGGAAATGAGCTGGTTGATTTAGAAAAACATGGAAATACTTAGGTTTAAGAACGAAGATGCTATCCATCTTTGGAGGTACAGATGATAGGAGGAAATAAGCATGTTATGGTCTTGCATATTTGTGTACAAGTGTGTGTATATATAATACATATATTCATGTTTAATTATAGCCTTCTTTGAGTGGTGGGGGGAGGGAGGGGGAAAATAAAGTAAAAAGTACATAGCAGAGTATAAAGAAAACCAACAAGGAAGCAAAGAAAAGGTGGTTCACTTTGAAAACAATGGATAGTATTGTATAGATTTTCTTGAAAGAGAACTTTATTTTATATTGAATCATCTCTTGTGGTCTTCTGGGTATATGGCAATGTTGTTTTTTCTCATTTTGTATTTAAGTTTGAAATTTAAAAAAAAAAGAAATGTCTAGCCTCACACAGACATATTTGGAAAAGGGAACGTTATAATAAAGTTTTATGATATTTTTTACCTCGAAGCCCTTCTGAAAAGGCCTCAAGAACTTCCAGAGTTTCTCAAACCACATTTTAAGAATTGCTGCCTTAGATCATCACCTTTGCATTTTGCAATCCTTAGATCCCTTCAAGGGTCACTCTACGTGCTGCCTGTTACAGAAGGCTTGTTCTGATATCTACCTCTACCTCCTCCTCTCCCTAATTATATTCTACATATTTGTTTTTCCTATCTAGTTTGTAAGCTCCTTGAGAGCAAAGACAATCCTCCCTTTTTAGTTGTTGTTCTTAAATACCTCATGTGCATAGTATATAGCAAGTGCTTCTATGAATACTTCATATTTATTGTTGGTCATGATTACATTAAATTCATGTACCATAAATTTTTTAACCATCAATAGTAATTGATGGATATTTATACTGCTTGTCATTCTTTGCTACTATTAAAAATTCTGCTGCAAATATTTTAAGGTATATGGGATCTTTCTTTGACCTCACTGAGATATTACTAGTGGAATTTGTGAGTCAGAGTATGTACTACTTTATTTACTGTTCCTGTTTGTCTTGTGTTTTACTTCCCTTGCCTCACACTATGATCCAGCCATACTGCACTACTGACAGTCACTCCAACCTGACATTTAATCTCCAAACTTACATCCTTTGCATTGGCTGACCCCCAAGCCTGGAAAAATCTGCCTTCTTACCTAGAAGGTGAGAGGTTTGTTGGCCTCCTTCAGGAATCATCTTGAGTCCCAGAGCATTGGAGTCAAGATGACCTGAGTTCAAACACTAGCTGTGTGACCCTGGAAAATTCACTTAACCTCTGTGTGCCTCAGTTTCCTCAACTATCCCCTTCATTATTTTCATATACCATACTTTGTTCATTCATCCCTCTTTCCCTCCCTTATCCCTCCCCTGTAGACATCCATGTCCTTTGCCACCACAAAAAAGCACTACTATAAAACTTTTTAAAAACATATTAGTCTTTTTCTTCCATCTTTGATTTCTGTGGGATTGATGACAGTGTATACATAGTTTATTAACTCTTAGAGCATAGAACCAAATTGCTTTCCATAATGGCAGTACTAGTACACCAGTGTACCTGTTTGTCATTTTCTTATTTTGTCAACTTTTCCATTTCTGAGGAAATTGAGGTGGGACCTCAGAATTGTTTTAATTATATTTCTCTTTTAGTGGTTTGGAGCATTTTTTCATGTGGCTGAGTCACCAATATGACATGGTGGCTTGAAAAGATAAAGCAGTCTTAGATGCTGTTAAAAGTTATAGTGAGCATGACAAAGTAAGCAATAGTCTTATTCGATTTTGGATAGCTCATTTCTGGAGAATTATGTTCAGTTCTTAGTGCCACATTTTAGGAAAGACATAATCAAGTTAGAGTGGATTCCCAGAGGAGAGCACAAAGCCCTAATCTGACAGCGCATGAAGATTTTTGTACCGTCACATAGTTCACCATCTCCACTAAAAAGAGGAAAGTATTTCATCATTGGTTTTCTGGAACCAAAAACCAGACTAGACATTGCAAATAATCTGAATCTTTAAGTCTTTTATTATTGTTTTCAATTAATCAATGTTTTTTTTTTACTTTTCTCACTATATTTCTCAACTTTTTTTGCAGATATATAATGAAAAGGAATTACTTCAGGGAAAATTGGACCTTCTTAGTGACACAAACATGGTGGACTTTGCCATGGATGTGTATAAAAACCTTTATTCTGATGACATTCCTCATGGTAAGTAGCCTGGTAATAAAAGACCAGAATGTTGGGACTCTGGGCATGTGTTTTAAAGTTTTTCTTTTTTTTTAAGTTTTTTTTCAACTATAAGAGCTTCTTTGCTAGAAGGTTTAATTATTCTTAAATTGACATATAATTATAGTTTCTTTGAAGGCACAGAATTGTTATAAAAGATCATCAAATGCTTTCTGTTTTTGACAGTCCCTTTTATTTGTGTTGTCAACTATGTACCTGTATATACTGGTAACTTGATTTGTTTAAGGTGTACCTTATCTTGAAAAGCATCTAGTGCATACTTATGAAAGAAACAATATAAAAATAGCTCCATCAATTGATAAATGATCCTGTAGACTTAAGTTTTTCAATTATGCATTATATTTGTTCTCACACCAACATTGATTCCTTCAGTACTTTTTAAAAATATATTTAATATAACCTTGTGCAGAGAGAGTGCTGCCAACTTTGAGGTCACTGATCTGTTTTAAGTAACAAAATTCAACAACTTGCATAGAAATCAACTAGATACATAACTTTGAAGAAGGAGGCAACTGAAACTTGGTGTGTTTGCCTTCTTTGTTGTTTGTAGCACATCATCTATAACAAAAGGTAGTTTAGCAAAACTAAGCAACGTATTCACCAAGTATATCAAGATATTCAGGGTGCACACATCCGTAGGTCATCTCGGCATGAAGGTGCAGAGTTACATTTTCTTATGTCTCCTTTGGGCATGTTTAGCCCCTGTAATTGTGTGTATTAATGTTGATTTGTAACAAGTTAATAGCATAGCACCAGTGTTTTTGTGACCTATTCAAAGGCAGTTGTTTCAAACCTTGGAATTTTTTAATATAAAATTTTGTGGGCCTCCAGCATCACATTGTTATAACCTATTAGTTGAGAAAATATAACCACAAGTTGTTATTAATTCACTAGTGCTTTTAGGTGGATCGATCACAATAGTATTTTTATACAGATAGTAATGTACACATATATAGGATATATTGATTCTTCAAGTTACTTTTTTGAGGATTTTCGTATTCACAGATTTCTTGAAATACTAAAGTCCTTGCACAGTGGGAAAGACTGGTATAGATTATTGATGCTGGCATCACCAGAAGAATGGTGTAGGGGCTCTTTCACTTGACCACTAGGTTTATTTGTGCTACATTTGTTATATCTTCTATGGATCTTATGGCCTTAAAGAAGTCACTTTTCCTCTCAGCCTCAGTTTTCTCATCTGTAAAATGGGAATTACAATCCATTATACTCCCTGCCCAGGGGAAGTGGTTAGTTATTGATAGATGAATAAGTGTAACGACAGTGAGCCTGTCCATCAAGTTGAAAATTATAATCTGAGCTACTTTGCATTAGCATTATAGTAATATCTCACTTTTTTTTAAAAATAGCTTTGCGTGAAAAAAGAACTACTGTTGTTGCACAACTAAAACAGCTGCAGGCAGAAACTGAACCAATTGTCAAGATGTTTGAAGATCCAGAAACAACAAGGCAAATGCAGTCTACCAGGTAGCCACTTCTTCCTTTGAAATGTAGTGGTGGTTGGAAAAAATAGTGGCAGAGAATTTAAAGATCTGACTTCTATTTTTGGCAAGGTAGTTATCTCTCTAGTGCCTGTTTTCTCATCTCTAAAATGAAGAGTTTGGACAAGATTATCTCAGAGGTACTTTCTAGTTCTCATTCAATGAAATCTTTCCAGTTTTATTAATTTGCACACGATGGCAGGTCCCTAAAATGAATATATGATTTGAATTACCAATTTTCCCCTTTTTTGCCTTTTTACCAACTCTGGCGATGTTTATCACTAAATGCCAATTTTCATTTCTTTTTCTCAAAGGAATGAGAAAGGAATATTGTCTGTACAATAAAGCTTTCTACAACAGTGGCCTCAAACTTAGATTTTAATTTGTTTTAATTTTATAGTGCTTATATATTTGTTTGGTTACTTTCTAAATCTTTGTTTCTTTCCAAAAAGATTTGTTCGTCTAGTTTTAAGTATCTCTAGGGGGTAGCCTTAAGGCAGCATGGTCTAGTGCAAAGAATATTGAATTTGGAGTCTTAGGAAGGACTTAATTTCATATCTCAGCTTACTGGTTTTATGTGTAGTTGAGCGTGTGATTTAATCTATATGGAACTCAGTCTCATCTGTAAAGGAAAGGCAGTTGGTCTAAGTGAACTAGGGCTTCTTTGAGCTCTAAGTCTGTTCTCCTGTAACATCATGACCATCTGTAAGGGAGATCTGAGCCCTTCTTTCCCATCATTTTGTTTCATTTCTGCATACTCATCTTGGTATAACATCTGTGTTGCCTGGTCCTTGTGTTGTAGTTGGAGGCTTATTAGAGATTAGATTTTTAATAAATATAAATATATATTTCTTATTCATTAATTTATTTTTTGGGGTAGACAGTGGGGTTAAGTGACTTGCCCAAGGTCACACAGCTAGTAATTGTCAAGTGTCTGAGGCCAGATTTGAACTCAGGTCCTCCTGACTCCAGGGCTGGTGCACTATCCACTGGGCCACCTAGCTGCCCCTAGAGATTAGATTCCCTTGCTTCCCTTTCCTACTTAACTGTATATCTATTCAGAGTTCCAGAAAGAGAATTAGGAAGAAAAATAGAAGTCAAGTTAACATACGCTTATTAATTCCTTAGTGTGAGCCAGCCACTGTGGTAATGGTGGGAATACAAATACAAGCTAAAAGAATGACAGTTCTTTCTCTCAAAGAGCTTAAATTCTAATGGGGGCAGACAGCATTAAACAAAGAAAACTGAAAAGTACCAGGAATCAGAGGGAAGGAGGTAAGGAGGTGAAAGAGGACTATGGAAGAGAAAATCTGGAGATTTCAGGAGTAGAGGGATAAAGACATAGCTTGTCTGGTACTGTTCCTTCAGATGAAGGTTCTAGGAGGAACTAGTTGGTCAGAGAAAGGCATCACAGGCGCTTTTTGTGTAAAGTCCAGGGAACTTCCAGGATGAGGAGAATCAAGAATGGAGCCTAGAGAATAATAAAGACATAGCTGTCCTGGGCTTTTTCCTTAAAACGGACGATCTGGGATAAAGCAATTGATGAGAAGAAGAGGCAGAGTATGCTTCCAGGATGAGGTTTTTGTGACATGATAGATCAAGTCTGGATTGAGAAGTGGAGCCTGAGAGTCACTTAATCTCTCAGTATTCCTGGGCAACTCTGTAAGTCTGTTACGTTTCAGAATGGGTGCTAAACTACTGTGGTAGAAGGTGTTTCCTCAACCAAGAGTTTCCATATTACTGAAATCACAGGTATGGTTTATTTTTTTTAAGTGAAGTTATAGATAATGAAGATATTTTCAGTTAAGAAAGTTGGTACAAGGAAAAAGTATTGTTTTGTTGTTGAGTCATTTCAGTTGTGTCTGACTTTTCATGACCAAATTTGGGATTTTCTTGGCAAAGATACTAGAATGGTTTGCCATTTTCTTCTCCAGCTCATTTTACATATGAGGAAACTGAGGCAAACAGAGTTAAGTGGCTTGCCCAGGGTCACACTCTAGTAAGTGTCTGAGGATGGATTTGAACTTAGGTTTTCCTGACTAAGCCCAGTACTCTATCTATTGTGCCACTTAGCTGGCTCTCAGGCCAAAAGTTTGAATAGCTTTAAATATTGGGTAAATAAAAAAACTTCAGCATCTATGTTTTTGGAGTTTTGTGTGGTTCCTCTATTAATGCAGATTGTAACTACTCAACACCTTAGAAGGTTTAATGAGATGTTGTAGACAAAAAAATGTCACCTAGTGAACGACCCTCTGTTGATAGACTTCTTCAACTTAGGCTGTTTCCATGCCTTTTTAGCTTGGCAAAGGACCTCTAAAACTTGGGGTAGCCTCTGAGAGCCTAGAATTAATGCCATACCAAAGTAAACTATTGAAATAGAACTATGGTGAAATACTAACCAGCAAAGTTTTTTTAAAATTAATTTATTTTTACACACTATTTTCTTTCCCTCTTACTCCTTCCTACCCAGTTGAAAATATATAAAAATGAAGCCCTCATAACCAATATGCATAATTCAAGAAAGTAAATTCCCACATTTGCCATGTCCAAAACTGTTTGTTTCATTTTGCATTTTAAATCCATTCACCTGTGGCAGAAGTTAGCTTATTACATCATCAGTCATCTGGACTCCTGGTTTGTCATTGCATTGATCAGAATGTTAGTCTTTCAAGGTTGTTTTTTCATTCTATAAATTGTTCTAATTCTGCTCACTTCAACTTGCATTATTTCATAGAGGTCATTCCTATAAAACTATTTCATCATTTAAATTTATATCTTGGTCTTCCATGCCACTGTAGTAATTTTTTAATGGTCAAGTTCCCTTTTTTTTCTTTTTTGTTAATTGCTCATTTTTCCAGCCTATTTCTTTGCTTTCAACCTTATGTTAAAAGTTGAGTTCTGCCTATCTGGATCTGGGCGGCATTGTGCCAAGCTTTAGGCTTTTTCATGCTGATGTTTTCAGAGCTGATTCTGAAGGTCTGCAAGTTTTTGGTGCTTCCCAAGTGGCATTATCCCGGGAGAGGTGTAGTTAGTCCTCTTCTGCTCTGTGCTCTGGTTTTTAGCCCAAGAAGGTCCCCTCCTGGAGGCACTGCGGCCACAATTACTAATGCTCCTTTTGGCCCTGGAACTGCAACCTAGAACTACTTATACACACTAGAGTTGCCAATCAGCGCCACCTGTGCCCAGTATTAGCAAAGGGTCCCCTATAATCTTTCTTGCTATTTATTCAACCCCCTTCACCATCTCTGGTCTGAGGGCTTTCAAAGCTGCTGCTATCAGAGCTGCTTCGGTAGCTCACTGCTGGTTTTCCTGCCACACTCTAGGCCTGCATCCACCCTATAATTGTCTTAGGCTGCAAAAATGTTTCACACTGAACTTTGGCTCTCCAGAATTTGATTTGAGGAGTTATTTTGAAGTTGTTTGGAGGGGAATATTGAGAGACTTCAGGTGGGTCCTGGTCAATGCTCTTCATCTTGGGTCTGCCTTGAAGCTCCTATTATTATCATCTTATATTTAATTTCCTACTGACTTGAACAAATGGATAAAACTACTGCTTTTTGTAGTTGAAGAAGCATATTAGAATGTAAGCTTATCTTAAGCTCACTGAAAGTATCTGTTTTCGACTGCAGTAACAGACAGGATGATAGGAATGGTATGATGTGTGATATGATATGACTTCATTCTGTTTCTATAAGATTTTGATTTTGTTACAGGTCTCTTGTCTATTTTCAAAGTTTTTCATTTTGCATAACTTGTAGAGACAGTAGTATTTAGTTTGGTGATATCTATTAAAAACTTTGTTCTTAAGTATTTAATGGCTCAGTATTGTGTGTATGTAGTTGTTAAACAAAATGAGGGTGGCAGTTAAATATCTAGCAAGCCATTTAGTTTGATTTCCAAGAGGGCAACCATATTCTGTAGTTCTTTGGTGCCTTTTTCAATGACAGTCTTTTTTTTTTTTTGCTTCAGACTGATTTTATTTATATTGTTACAGTTACAGTACTATACATAAGTTCTTTTAGTTCTACTTTCTTCACTTTGTGTCATTTTTAGTTTTCAACATTCACTTCTATGAGCTTGAGTTTAAATTTTCTCCCCCTCCCTCTCCTCTTCCTTCCCCAAGATGGCATGCAATCTGATATAGGCTCTACTTACACATTCATATTACACATATTTTCACATTAGTCATGATGTAAAGAAGAATTAAAACTAATGGGAAGAGCTACGAGAAAGAAGAAACAGAACAAAAGAAAAGGAAAGCAAATAGTATGCTTCTATCTGCATTCAGACTCCAAAATTCCTCCTCTGGATTTGGATGGCATTTTCCATCATGAGTCTTTTGGAGTTGTCTTAGATCCTTGCGTTGCTGAGAAGAGCTAACTAAGTCTGTCAAAGTCAATGTCTGACTAATTTTATTTATTTATTTGTTTGTTTGTTTTTTAATTTTTGGGCAATTGGGCTTAAGTAAATGCCCAGGGTCACACAGCTAGTAAGTGTCAAGTGTTTGGTGTGAGGCTGGATTTGAACTCAGGTCCTCCTGACTTCAGGGCCGGTGCTCTATCTACTACGCCACCTAGCTGCCCCTAATGTCTGACTAATTTTAACATGATACTGTGGTTAGATCAGCCTAGCTAGTCTGATCATTTTAAGAGCCCTTAAGTTTAATTGGTCTCTAATAGGAATGGGTCTAAATTTACAATACTGTTTACAGCATTTTATTTTTAATTATTTGTTGTTTTTCCTCATTGAGAGCAGAGACTGTCTTGCTGTTCTTTTTTGTGTATACCCAGCACTTAGCAATATGCTTGGCACATATAAATACTTTAACATTGTGTGTAATGGAAGATTATTAACCAGCATTTTTTAAGTACCATGTACCCCAAATCTTGTCATTCTGGTAAATATAATTAAACATGTCTCCTGCCCTTGAGAAGAAAGTAATCCAGGCATGGAGAGAAAATGTATTCCTGCTAATAAGAACAGGGCATTTATTTTTGTATCCTCACAATTAAAATGCAATTTACTAGCATTTTAAACCCCTAATTCTAATGTTTTGGAAAATGAACAGTGTGTTGTTTCATTGTAAAAGCTTATTTCTTTCCTCATAATTCTAAGTGTCGTTTTTAATTTTTTTTGTCTTTGTGACCCTGAAGAGTTGTTTATTTTGAATTATTCTTTAAAACTAAATACATTTTTTAAACATTTATTAAGGGATGGTCGGATGCTGTTTGACTACTTGGCTGATAAACATGGTGTAAGTGTTTTGGTTTTTTAAAATATTTAAAATTTTAATTTAAGTGTTATATTTATCTTAAATATGACAGGTCACATAATTGATTTGATTATTAATGTGAAGTTGAGGTAAATTTCAAGTTGCTTCATCAAAAAGAATAACTTGCTTCTAGATCACAGAAAAAATAATAATTCATTTTGTTGTAATGCAAATAATAACACATTCGTAACAAGAACAGTTAATATTTTTGCTGTATCTTATGTGTTAGTCTTCATCACTTCAGGGGTCTCAAAGTTATACCATAATAGTTGAAGAAACTGACTGTTGTTTAGCAGGGAGAAGATAAGAAATTGAGAGGGAGGGAGTGAAAGAAAAGACATTATTGCTGTCTTCAAATATGGAAAAATTGTGACATAAAAGAACTGCATGTTCTTGACCCGGAGAGATAGCTCTAATAATATATGGAAGACACAGAAAGAGATTTTGGCTGATTGTGTGGAAGAACTCCCTAACAATTATCATAGAATATGAGTTAGAAGGTGCCTCAGGTGCCATTCAGTTCCTCCAGTTCTTGGATCACCTGATCCAAGAATTTTTTTCTCTGGTGTCCTGCTTCAGTTTGAAAGCCTTCATTGGTTTTTGAAAATCACTGCTTTCTAAGATAGGCTGTTTTAACTTTTAAAGTATTCTAACCCTGGAATAATTTACCTTTGGAGACCTTGAGCTCATTGACACTGAAGCCATCACATAGGATTTGGATGGCCACTGAGATGTTGTAGAAAGGTTTCATTCCCTTTGTAAGAGGACAGACTAGATGACTTCTAGGTACTGTCCAATTCTGGAATTCTATTGTTTAATCAGTATCGTACAGTTTGGTGAAACCTTTTTAATATCATATGTATGGTTTTAATTGGCAAACTGTGATAGACCATGTGAGATGCAGCTTTATGTTGTAGTTCCTTGTCAGTGGCTTCCATGAAATTACATTTATGTAAAGATGAGTCTTTCATATAGTATTAATTTAGTATCTGTTAACTTGAAAGTAAAACACAAATATCTTAAGCTTTAGGTTTACCTAAAAATAGTGCCCCAGAAGAATCTGCATTAAGGACCAAAGTTGTTTTTTGATGAAATGTGAGGAGTAAAAGTTGGGAAAGAATCTCGTCGTCAGTGAAACTAATTGATTGTGAAATGATTTGGTGTAGAACTTAAGTAAGTAGATGACATTAAGTCAAAATGAAAAAGTAAAACTTTTAATTTTTATTTTCAGTTCAGACAAGAATATTTAGATACACTCTATAGATATGCAAAATTCCAATATGAATGTGGCAACTATTCAGGAGCAGCAGAGTATCTCTACTTTTTTAGAGTGTTGGTAAGTACTCCTTTTTCTTGATCTCTAGTAACTTAATCAAATGTGATGTTGTGGCTAATGAGCTAGAAAGACCTAGACTTGAGTCATGCCTTTGACACATACTTGCAGGCATCTTGGGCAAATCATTTATCTTTGCCCCCAGACAGCTTTTTAAGTTGCAGTTATGCATTGGTATGGGGAGTTTCTTCACAGAGACTCCTTATACCAAAGAATTCAGATTTGGACACTTTTTTCTCCAAAAAAAATTATAAAGGAAATTTTTTTTGGTTAATATTAAATGGATTCTGTCATTTAGGGCAGATTTATTCATTTAGACTTGACAAGGCTGAGCAAACAAAATTATTTGTTTTGTCTGTTAATTTGTTTATTTCTAATTTCTTTAAATGCTGTAAGAGCTTTATGGGAGATTTTGTTCCTTTTGTGTGCTTATTATTTGTTTTTGTTGGTAGTTACCAAGTTCATAATGTTTTAAAATTGGTAACATGTGTCAGGTTTTATTATTCCCTGTTTAATTTAGTATTTGCTTATGTAAAATGTCTTTTTTGGCTTTTCCCAAAATAGCGTAATCATGGGGGGTTTTCTGGAATTTCTGAAATTCACTTCAGTTTATTTTCTGCCTTAATGTTTTAAATTTACTCTTTCTACTTTATTCATTCTCAGTTGTTAGAATGTAGATAAAGGCCAATATTTCCAGATACATAGGGATATTTGCATCATTATATACAGTAAAACTTTTGTTTGGGGCAGCAGTAGATTTGGGTTGGATTCAGCTCTGCCACTGTTGACCTCTCAACTCTAGTAGGGGAGACAACAATGTAGTGGAGTGTTGAGTTAGCACTCTTTTGGACTTGGCCAAGTAATGTTTTTGTCATTTGTAAATGAGGAGTTTGAATTAGATAATCTTTAAGGTTCCTTCTAGCTCTGTGGCATGTGAACATGATTGATCACAATAAGAATCATTCCCATGTATAAGTATGTCATCTTACTTTACTGTGATTCTAGTTTTTCTCATTGTAATTAAATACTGTTATTAGAGAGAATATCATATAGTGCAAAGAGAGAAAAACCAAGACTTTCTATTGAGGGGTAGTATGGTTTTTCTACATCTTTATTTAGGTTCATGGATATAATAATAACACTTTAAAGTTTTTAAAGTGATTTACAGTCACATTTTATCCTCACAACAACCTGGAGGTAGGTGCTATTATCACCCCCATTTGCAGATGAAGAAGTTAACTTAGGTTAAGTGACTTCCCTAAGTTCACCAGCTAGTAAGTATTTTGCCTAACTTCCAGATCCAGTGCTCTGTTTACACCAACACCTAGCTGTTTTTATGTAAATAAATACTCCAGATCTACAAACCTTAGGAGTGATGTAGAAATAGAACTGACCTTGGAAGCAGGAAAACCTGGATTTAAGCCCTGTATTTGACACGTAACAGCTTTGTGACCCTGCCCTTAACCCCTTAGTATTCTAGGCAAATTTCTAAGACTAAGTTACAGGTGAACCAGTTTGGTAAAGGGAGTTTCCTGTACCAAAAAAATCACAGCTCTATTCCATCTACTCATTCTTAGCCCTGTTCACGCTTTTAGGTAGCTCACTATTGCAAGGGAAATAAACTAAGAATTCAGTGCTTTTTTCTTTCTGGTTTTTGAGTTAGTATAAATTTTTGCCCTGGGCACATAAACATATTCCTAGCAGGTACTAGTAATGCTTTTGGATTTTTCTTATTAATTCAAGGACTGTGAAATATATTTCTTCATCCAATAAAACTGTCTTTCAGCTATAGATTACTTGTGTTCCTAATTTCTAATGACCTGTTCTTTCTGTTATATGAGAGTTTTAACCCAGACTGCCACAAAGGAAAGTATTTTTTTAGTTGCTAACATTGTTTATTATCTAAGAAATTAATCTCTCCTAATCCTTATGATTTCAGAATAAGCAAACAAATTGGCAGTGAGGCTGAGAGTCAAGAAGGACACACATAATAAACTGTTAAACTATGCTTTAAAAATTTCTATGCCTTTTTATTTTTTAAAATTAATTTATTTTTAGTTTTTGGCATTAGCCTTCATAAGCTATTTAGTTCCCAATTTTTCCCCTTCCCCCCTCCCTAAGATAGCATGCAATCTGATACAGGCTGTACATATACATTCCTATTAAACATATTTTCACATTAGTCATGCCATAAAGAATTAGAAGCAATAGGAGGAACTACAAGAAAGAAGAAACAAAACAAAACAGAAGGGAAAAAAAGAGCAGATATTGCTTTGATCTGCATCCAGACTCCACAGTTCCCTCTCTGGATGTGGATAGCACTTTCCACCATGTTTCCATTGGAGATGTCTTAGAATTTGCATTGTTGAGAAGAGCTAAGTCTATCAAAGTTAGTCATTGAATAATGTGGCTGTTACTGTGTACAATGTTCTCCTGGTTTTGCTCACTTCGTTCAGCATCAGTCCATACAAGTCTTTCCAGGTTTTTCTCAAGTCTGCTTGCCCATCATTTCTTATAGCACAATAGTATTCCATTACATTTATATACCACAGCTTGTTCAGCCATTCCCTAATTGATGGGCATCCCCTCAATTTCCAGGTTTTTGCTACCACAGAAAGAGCTGTTATAAGTATTTTTGTATGTGTGGGTTCTTTTCCCATTTTTATGATCTCTTTGGGATACAGCCCTAGAAGTGGTATTGCTGAATCAAAGGGTGTGCACATTTTTATAGCCCTTTGGGCGTAGTTCCAAACTGCCCTCCAAAATGGTTGGATCAGTTCACAAAACTGCACTAGCAGTGCATTAGTGTTCCAGTTTTCCTGTTTTATCATGTTAGCCAATCTGATAGGTGTGATGTGGTACCTCAGAGTCGCTTTGATTTGTATTTCTCTAATCAGTAGTGATTTAGAGCATTTTTTCATATGACTATAGATGCCATTTTATTTTTAAATAAAATAAGCTCTCCTAAGAACTTAGTCTTATAGTTTAAAAATTAATTTCAGTATTCCCTCTAAACCTAGAAAAATGATGTCTTCTAATTAATCTATATGTAAATGAATTCTTAAATCCCAGTCAGTGGTGAGTAACTTTCGAAGTTAAATTGAGGGCAGTCTGTGATCATGCTGAATTTATAACTTGCTTTCTTCCTTTCTTGCGTTCTTTCCTTTCTTCTTTCTGTCTTTCTATTTTAGAAAACTAAGTCTGCCTTACTTTGCATGTTGTGCAGAATATGAAATAGTATGATTAGTTTTCTTTGGAAATGTAAACAGCCTGAATCAGAATTATAAAATCAGAACTCTGATATTCTTACAAGTACATAAAAAGAGCTAGTTATTCCTATCATTTGCTAATGTTGAGAGTGAATTTTGAGAATGAAGATTTAGTATCTACTTAGAGTCTTAGCACAGTAAATTTATTGTTGCTAGAAAGTGAGTAATTGTGCTGTTTTGCTAACCCATGGAAACTTAAGGTAACTTTTGAAAAAGTTAGATGTTGAAACTGTTCTAGTATATCCATCTCTGAAAGCGGGATGGTATGAAGAGCCAAATATAATGACATGGAGCTTAGCCAAGGTAGAACGTTGAAACTTTTGAAAGAAAAAAATACTGAAGTTCACTGACAAACTTTTATACCAGCATTATAAGCATGTTCTAGTTTAACAGCATAATTTCTTGATTAAGCAACCCAAAATATATTTCTGCCTATAGTATTTACTTACTGGGTTTTAGGTTCTTGAATGTTTTCTCTCAATTTGAAAGTGATTCTTATTCAATTTTTAAAAAGAAAAAACCTGTCTTCTATTTAAATAAATTGAACACCATTTATCTAATGCTGTGTTGCAACTCAAACTATCTTAGATCATTACTATTAAAATTCCAATTAGTATGCTTTGAGTTAGTACATAGCAGTTTAGAATGTAAGTTTGCATGTAATTAATTCCTTCCTGCCACCATATTAGAAATAGCTGACGAAAGCTAGAGATGGAAAAACAAATAATTGACTTTTACTCTTTTGGGGGGAGTGGGAAATAGAATTTGAAAACATTATGTTTACTTGAAATATTGCCCTTTTGTTAGGAAATTGATTTAGGCCAGAAAATGTAAAATTTTGGTGTTCTTTTATTATAGAAGTGGGATGCAATGACTGTGTGTGTGTGTGTGTGTGTGGAATTTTGGTTGGCAAAGATTCTTTTAAATTGATAGGGAAACATAAGCTATGAAAGAACCATTGTTACTATGAACCGAGATTAGAATTTGACACCTTAATTGACCTTGCATATTTGTGGTGTATAAATTAAAGCTGTGTGATTCTAGAATTACCCTTACTTGAAAAAGAATTAGTGAATGTCTAGAGTTGATTAAATTAAAGAACTCTGTGTATTTTATGAAACTTGAATTGACTTATCATTTCATGAGAAATGTCTTCTTATTTCAAATGAAAGATTGAATGTATCCCATTAATACCTGAGGCATTAGTAAATTTTTCTTTTAAATTTTTGAAAAAAACTACTGATTCAGTCTATAACTTGGATAAAAATATGCCCCTTATTGTCACTTCTTAGTAACAGGGAATAGGTCCCAACTTGGTCATAAATTTGTATCATCCTTTTATGAGAAACTCAGTTTTGCTCTCCAGTATTTTGAGTTGAAGACAGACATCTTGCATAATTGCAAGTTTCTATTAGTGGAACTCAATGATCATAGGACAAATGTCCCTTTCTGTTAAAGTGTATACTATACAATTAATAATTTCTTTTGGAAGATCATCATGTTTCCAAAAAGTACAAAGGCTGAATTATCTGTCAGTATTTGAAACAAGAGTTTCATGGAATTGTGTGTTTCAATATTTAAACTACTAATTAAATGTCAGTATTTTTAACAAGTAATCAAAAATTTATGATATCCGGAACATGAGTTAGTTCTTTTTGTCAGAGACAGGCTTCATTACTGGAAATTGTTGAGGAAAGTTAGAAAAGGCAATATATTTATTTACACCATAACACTAAAGGTTTGAGGAATCAATTCTGTAGTGGGCGTAAGTTAGGAGCTATATGGAAATTTCTATATAAAATTCTTTACCTAACATATTTTCTGAAAAAAAGGCATAAGAAAATGACATCTTGTGATGTAATATCTCTAGAGTAGGAACTTAGTGCTTGGTCTACCTTGATTGGTTATTCAAGATTTCAGCGACCCTTCTTTTGCCTTTAGCCCTGCTTTCATCAGAGCACAGAAGTGTTATTGTTCTAAGAATAGATGGTAGGTTTGGTTCGCCTGTGTCCTTGGGGAAAACACTTCCTACAGTGGCTCTTATAGCATTTGAAAATGTTTCCTGAACATTTTGGCCTTTGAAGGGAAGCATTTTTCTAGATGGCTGTATCTTTTTGCTGGGTTTGACCTGGGTTTGATTCCTAGCAGTAACTTTCATTTTCTTTGTAGCATGAAGGGATCATACAAGATGATGATGTCCTAGGTTCTTTCAAGCCCTAAATCTGAACAATAGAAAGTGAATAGTAACCCAACATTCTTTTTGACTATCCTTGTGGGAAACTGGATTCAGATAAACAGATTACCAGTACCAGAAAAGAGGAGAAAGAATGGCTTTGGGTTTTGGAAGTTTTTCAAGCCTTTCTTAAAACATTTCTTTTATGTCCACTAGGTAGCATGGTCATTGCTTCACTGACTTGTTAGAAATGCTCTTTGGGAAAAGCTGGCTTCTACCTAGATTTTAATGTGGATTCAGAGGACTTGTTCTCCCACATCCTCAGTACAGAGTAGTTTTTGTCTCAGGTTTACCTTTATCTCCTTCAGACCCACTTGTTTCTGAAATTTTTAGGTACTTCAGGAAACAAAACATCTGACAGTTTGTGGAATCTTCATCTATTATTATTACTAAGGGCTTTTCCAGCAGTTTTACTCAAATTAAATACTTTAAGTAAGGTTTTTCTTAAATTTTTATTGCTGCCTTTTGTTTTATATCACCTTCATTTCCAAATACATCACATCCCTATCCACTACCTAGAAAGTCATCTCTTAGAATAAAAAGAGCAGAAAAAGCAGTTCACTAAAACCAGTACATCAAATGAGGCCAACATTCCATACATAATGTTCCAACAGTTGTCCTTTCTACTTCAACTCCCCCTTCCAATCCCCCTCCCCACAATGACCACATAATGAAGGGAGGAGAAAGAACACTTTAAGGTCGGAATACACATGTTTTATAATAACCATATGAGGTTGGTAGCCCCATTTTTACACATCAAAAAATTGACAAGAGAGTTGACTTACCCAATTTTACAGAGCTAGTATTTGTCAAAGACAGGATTTAAGTCCAGATCTCCTCCTGGCTCCCAAGTTTAGGGTCCTTTCTACCAGATGAAAATGCATATTGTTTTATTCTGCCAGCACTTTGAAATACTTCTATGTATGTTAATCTAGATTAAATATTAAAGACCTATATTTTCAGTAAATCAAGTTAAGTGAAAATTTTTAAAGAGATTAAATAAAGTATGATCTATTAAGGACCAAAAATACCCATGAGTTTCAGTAAAATCAGCAACTCTTTTTCCTAAATATAAGGTTATATGTCTATATAAAACATTGCATTATCTGGCACTTTGTGCACTATTGTTGTGAGTATGTAATTGTCTTTAATTGCCTAAACAGGTCCCCTCAACTGATAGAAATGCTTTGAGTTCACTGTGGGGAAAACTAGCATCTGAAATTTTAATGCAGAATTGGGATGCAGCCATGGAAGACCTCACAAGATTGAAAGAGACCATAGATAATAATGTGAGTTAATTTTTTTGAAGTGCTACAATTAATGTTAATTAATGCCTTTTCCACCAGAATTTTCGATTAGTATAGTACGAAGAATTTAAGAATTTTACTTGAATGTCTTTAAGGATAGTAATGTAATTTTTGCTTTGTGTTTTTTTTCCCCCTTTAAGTGTCTCTTGGCAAGGTATTCATGTTTTACATTAATCTGATAAGGAAGCTACTGGGCAATTGCTGGAGTAGTGTTTGTTATACCAAATATGTATAATGCAGAATGTTAACTAGTTAAAACTAGTTTCTTGGCTGAAATTCAGTTTTATAATACTGCTGTTGCTAGTGCACTTTGTGTTGAGAGACATACTTCCAGCATTAAATGCTTATTAAATATGCAGAAAAATCTATTTCAAGGAATGCTTATTACAATTCTTGCTTTGAAATTTTGTTAAAAATATAGTATAGTTGTTTACTTTTGCAACTTTATTACAAGATAATTAATCAACTGTCTTTGATGATCACAGATTTTGAAACAACTGAAAGTCATCATTCTGAATATTATATAAAATCTTACCGATTCCATTGTGTCCCTCTGTTTCTTTTTTTAAAAAATCCAGTATCTTTTTTGTTTGCCTTTTTTCTCCTAAAAGTGAAGTGTGAAAGCTTTCCCCCCACATGTTCTTTCCTTTATATCCTTTCAGTCTGTCAGTTCTCCACTCCAATCCCTTCAGCAGAGAACATGGCTGATTCATTGGTCTCTATTTGTATTCTTCAACCACCCAAAAGGTCGAGACAACATTATTGATCTCTTTCTTTACCAGCCACAGTAAGTAATTTTAACTTAAAAGATTTGTTACCTTAATTTGTTGGGGTTTTTTAATTATTTGGAAGGAAAAAAAAGATTACTGTTAATATCTTTTGTTATCCCATTTCTTATATTTCCTATCCCTTCTGACAAAGAATTTTTGTAAGAGGAAAAAAGTGCCAAAAAAAACTAGTTACACACATTTTTAAAAAATCTGACATAATATGTGATGTGTCCCATGGACCCCAGCTAATCAAAGGACCTAGGGAAAGGTGTCTTCTCAGACCTTTTCTTAGAAACCAAGCTTGTGCTCTATAATTTCACAATTCAGTTATGATTGCTTTCTGATTGTTTTTCTTTCCATTTACATTGTTGTAATCATTGGGTATATTGTTATCCTGACTTTGCTTTTCTCACTTTGCATTGGTTCATATTAGTTTTTCCCTGTCTCCCAGTCATGGTTTCACATCTGGCACATTGTATTTGTTAGTGAAAGCACAAAATTTCTTTAATTTAGGTACGTCAAAATGGTTTTTGTATATCCTGTAGCTCCCTAGGTAAAAGCAGTCTAAAAAGACAAAAGCAGCCTGCAAGGAAGTTCACCTGGGATCTTAGGGTCTCTCTCTCTCAGAGAGCTTACTTTTATGAATTCTTTGTTCAAAGGGTCCACAGCTACACAGCTGAGTCCTAGGTCAGTCTACGTAGAAGCAGAGTTAACTAAAATGGCCTCTATTTTACATTTTTGGGGAGGTTTACAACAACTTTAGTTGGTGGTGTAAGAATATGAGGTTTTACTCAAGCCAGTCCAATTCTGCCAGCATCCTGACCCATAGTAACTATGCTTCTCTGTATTCATATTAAATACTTCTTACAACACAATAATATTTCATTACTTGTGTTAAAATTTAGCTGGTCCTCCAATCTTTGGACATTTTGTTTCCATATCTTTGCTACTTTGTTAAGTGTTGCTGTATTTTAATGTATATAGAGCCTTTTGGTGGGGGAGACATTCAAATATAACTGTTCTTCATATAACAAGGTTTGTTTGTGACCTTTGCAAATTGAGAATAAGACTCTTAAAATGTGCTGTGAAGAATTTAATATAATACTTTCTATGTAGTTTGATTCTTCCCCTCAACCCTTACCCCCTAAAATACGTAGAAACCTATCTTTATGAGACCCAAATATGATTTGGCATTAGCAGTTTTTGGATTAGATTTGTTCTTTTTGAGCTATTGGCCAACTAAAGCCCCTGTAACTTATTTTATACAAACTTTTCATTTGTATTTGTCAGTTGATTATTAAAACCTAAATGCTGGACATCTCTCTGTTAAATTTTGGTGATTCAAATTGCTGTTTCATTTTGTCTAGACCTGAGGTTCTTAAACTTTTTTTTAATCACAGACCCTTTTGGCAGTCTGGTCAAGCCTATGGGTCCTTTTCAGAATAATGTTTTTAAGGAAAAAAGTATAATATGTGGGATACAAAGGGAACCATTCTATTGAAATACAGTTTTCACATTTATGTTGAAGTATAGGGGCCCCAGATTGAGGAATCCCTGGACCGGTTCCACTGTTGATCTTCTAACTTATTAGCTATTCCTCCTACCCAGCTTTATATTTTCCACAGTTTAGAAGGAGAATATTTCTTATGTTGCTTATTGCCATGCTTGGTATGGTACCATACTATGCCAAGTATGGTACCATACTTGGTAATTCTATAACTTTTATAATTAAATAAACTTGGCTATGTTAGAAACATGTGGGAAGCAAATTAACACATTTGACATTCATATGGTCTGAAGTTTAATGAAAGTTATTTTAAAATTTTAGTTGTAGTTTTGATTACTGTTTGGCAAGAACATAAGCTATATTTTTCTTGGTTGTGCTTTGACATTCAAGGATAGCTAAATTTTTGGCTATAAAAACAAAAGTGAAACTGTTCTCTTCTTCAGGGAGTTTGTATTCTACTGGAATATTCTATAGCAAATGATCACTTAAAAATTAAGACAGCCCACACTAATAGAGAGATGATCATTGAAGCAACCTAAGTACATGTATAGATAGCAAAGTTTGATAAAAGTGATGAAGTGCAGTATTACAAAAATTTTTGAAGAATATATACATTGGTAGTAGAATTACAAGGTAGTAGACTTTTTGAGGGTATTCTGTATATAGTAATTCACAAAATGGGGGGAATACATTTGACACAATAATCTCCTTATTAGGAATATGCCTTATATCCCTTTGATAGAATTTTTTTTTCAAAAATGTATCAGCATTGTCTTAAAAATGTTTTATTAATATTTCATCTTAACATCAACTCTTTCCTATCTCCCCTCCAGATCAAACCCTCTCTTCCCAAAGAAAAATAAGGAAGAAGTCCAATATGTGTGTGACTATATATACAATATTCTGTCATAGTATTCTCCCGCACATCTCAACTGTGAGGGAAGAGAATCATTTCATTGTCTCTTAATCCAGGAATTTTCATTGGTTTTTCATTTATTTTTTATCTCTAGCTCCTAGCAGTATCTGGCATACAGTTTAATAAGTTCTTGTTATAATGCTTAATAAATAACTTGTTCATTGATTGATCCTCGCAACATCACTGTGAAGTAGGTGCTATTTATCCCAATCTTAAAGATGAGGAAATGGAAGCTCAGAGATAATTGTATCTTGCCAAGATATGTAACAATATATAAATGCATTCATCCCATTTGAGATAATATAACATCAAGGTAGGTAGGTAGTGTTAAAGTCCTGCAGCATTCTACCCCTTGAAAACATTATCCTGAGAAAGATCCACAGGCTTGACCAGACTGCCAAAAGGGTCTATGATATTAAAAAAAAGAGTTTTAAGAACCTCAGATTTAGACAAAATGAAATAGCAATCTGTTTCTTATCTAAATTGGGGTAGAATAGTGCAGGACTTGGACTAATAGGTTCAACTTTGTTCTTTTCTTTTATTTATTTGTGTGTGTGTATAGTATATATCATGTTGCTTCATGAGGGCTACAAATCATTAGATAGGAAGTTGCTTCCCATCTGAAAATAGATGTATTGATTTGACATTTGCAATAATTTGCCACAAGGCATTATTAGTTCATTTTTCAGTCTGACTATTTGTGACCCTGTTTGGGGTTTTCTTGACAAAGATATTGGAGTTACTTGCTATTTTCTTCTCCAGCTCATTTTCTATGTGAGGAAAACTGAGGCAAACAGGTTTAAGTGACAGCTAAGTATCTGAAGATGAGTCTCCCTGATTCCAGGCCCAGCACTCTATCCACTGTACCACCTAGCTGTACCAGTTAGTTCATTGGAATCTTTTAAATGATAGATAGCAATTTTGAATAATTATGAATATTTAACCAAGATTAGTGTGACTAATTGCAAGAAGAAAAAAATGAACAAATTCTTGATTTAGAATTCTTTTTTAAATGTACTTTTAGAGTGTCTCCTTCCAAATTATTTGTGGTAAAATGCAGTTATACTTGAAAGACTTAAGCAGATGCTTCATAGAGTTTCACATTTTTAAAGTTTATGGGTTTTCCCCCCAGGCCTTAGCCTTCGTTTCTTTTAACAGGAACTCCATTTTCAAAATAAACACATTAGACAGAATTTTTAATTTAGCAAATTGATGAGTATTGATTCTTTTTTTTGTACAGCCTGGCACTGTGAACTTGGAATTTTTAGATTGGAGCATGTTAGATTATAGCCTCTACTGCCAAAGAATAGTATAGCATCTGAATCTCATAGATGTAATAAAATACGGTATTATGCTCATACAAATGATAGAAGAAAAGAGCAGAGCTCTAAGGAAATATCTGTAAAGTGATACGAATCCTATGGGAAAATACTTGCGAAAGATCTAGAAAGAAGTGAACTTTTTATTCATGCTATAACTTTGAATGCACTATTAACCTAAAACTTCTTCCTACTACAGGGCTGACTGACATTTTGTCTACTTATTCATCAAATATTTCAGTTTGAGTCAGTCACTTCATTTTTTTTCCTATTCATCCTCCAATTTTATAATAGAAATAAATGTAAACCTAAGATTTTCTTTGTAGATAATTCTTCATAAAATTTTACTGGAATTTTATCTGTTCTGTAAACTGGGATGCCTGTATGATGTGTTCACATGTTTTGAAATTGACATTGCTTCCAATTCAGTAAATATTTTTTGCTTCTAGATAACTAATTATAATTAATAATTGATACCAGAGATTATAAGGGGGAAAGTTACATCTCTTCTACTTTTAATTTCTAATTGCACAACAATATAATTTAACATAGCTGAATATGTTAAATTGGTCATTTTTTAAATTTAGAATAGTTTTTTTAACATAAGACCCAGAAAAAGATAATTTTCAAACCTTCGTAGATGATATGTAGAATGACAATGCAGGTTTAAGTTGGTCACATCATATATTGACATCCTTGTAACAATTTATTCTCCATATGAAATGGGAGTGACTTATGCATTTGAATACTTTTGAACCTCTAAATGTAATATAATAATCAAGATGGAGGTATAAGGAACTAATACAGCTAGCAGTTAGGAGTGATACCATGTCACTAAATGCCATTATGAAAGGGAATACATTTGTAACACAATGCCATGGTTCCTCTCGTGCTATGCCAAGGGAAGAAAAAAAAACTCAGATTTTAGTTAATAGGTATGTGTATTACTTTTTTATTCACTAATTTATTTGGCATGAACTACAGTTGTATAGGATTATGTTAAATCCAAGTGGGCAGCGTTTAGATTTAGAAAATAACATCCAAACGCCTTAGCTTGGCATTAAAGCCTTCTATGGTATGGTCCCAATACCAAGGCAGAGTGAAGTATCCTGGAAAGTCCTCAGTTTGGTATTAGGAAAGTGAATTTAAATACTAACTATGCTGCTGCCTACTTATATTCCCTTGAACAAGTCAGTTAATTCCTTTTGGCCTTAGTCTTCTTTTCTTCATTTGCAAAATACATGTTTTACTACATTGGTTGGGCCTTTCCATTTCTAAACCTAGGATCCTGTAATCTTTTTATTAATCTTTCCAACCTAAAGTCCTTTTCAAAATTGATATGCGTTGCCTCAGGAGGTAGTAGGTTCACTATGAATGAGTGCATGAATAATTGAGGAAAAGCATTTATTAAGTATTTCCTATGTGGCAAAAACTATACATAGTGCTGGGGATAGGGACACAAAATTGAGAGTCTCTACCCTCAAGGAACTTCATATGGGGAAGACAATACATGTAACATAATGATGTGATGACTGGAGAAGGGAGTTATGGTTGGGGAAGTCTCAAAGATGTTAGGTGAGAAAATAGGGCAGTCATTTGACATGCCCATTCAGGAGGCAGTGGTAATGTTGATTTAGTTATAGTCCTCAGCAATAGGGGTGTGTGCTTGTGAGTGAGAGTGTGAGTGTGTGTGTATAAGGGAAATGGGGGTATGGGTTTGGGAGCCATAAAATGTCTGAATGAAGAAGAGGCTGCATGGTTCCAGAGAATGGAGAGCTGAATGGCTTAGCTTTTCCAAGGAATGGTTTCAGAGGTCCAATTTGAAAGATGAAACAATAGTAGGCAGCAGGGAGGAAAATAGCTGGGCAAAGAGGAGGTTGGATGATCCCCGAAGAGTTCTGAGCCCAGTAGCGTAGCACCTCCCAGGTATGGTTTCTCTGGTGGATCCCAAAGGGTGTGAAAGGATATAATGGAAAGGAATATTGGAGCCAAGTTATAAAGGGCTTCACATACTAGGCAGAGCAATTTATATTTGATCCTAGAAATAATAATGAGTTTACTGAGTAGGAAAATAATATGGTCAGACCTTTGTTAAGCCGATCAAATTATCTAGGTGATATGTCTTAGAAATAGGCAAATAATTCAGTCCACTTGGAAGAACAGAAAATCTACAATCTCATATGAGAAAATGAAAGCATAATATCACCAAACCTCAAACTATATATTTTTTAAAAGTCATCAAAACTATTTACAGGGAGAAAGTTACTCAGGTAACTCAACTCCTTATTACCCCATGGTTTGCTCCAAAGACTTTTTACTTGGCTCATTTGTTCTCCTTCCTCCTAGTGTCATCAGATCTGAGAGCCATTTTAGAAACACTAGCCCAGAGGCTGAGATTCTCTCTTGTTTTGTTTGCTGCTTTCTGTTCCATAGTTCAACTAGTGCCCACTAGTTCTGTTCTCAGTCTTGTGTTATTTAACATTTTAATCAGTAATTTAAATGGTATGCTTGTGAAAATTGATAAGTAATATTTAGGATGACAGATTCAGCATCTTTTTTTTTTTTTGGAAAGGTCTTGACAGGCTAGGATAATAGTCCAAATCAAACAGGATGAGATTTCATAGTAGTAAATGCAAAGTTCTTCACTTGAATTAAAAAAACTAACAGTACAAATACAGGATACCTAGTTGTGGCTAAATAATATTTTATGTGGAAAAAATCTGAGGGTTTAATTAAGAAGTAGCATGATGTGAAGTGAAAAAATGCTAATGACTCTTTTGTCTACATTAGTAAAAAACATGGTGTATGTCCAGAAAAAGATAATCAGGATAGTGTGGGAATTTGAACCCATGGCATCTAAGGATCATTTGAATAAACTACAAGCATTTAGCCTAAAGAAGGAAGACTTGGGGGATGCACATGTTAATAAATATAAGTATTTGAATTCTTGACATGTGGAAGAAGTATTAGACTTGTTTTATATGACCATTGATAGCTGAACTTAGAACAGTGGTTATAAGTTACAAAGAGGCAAGTTTTAGCTGGGTATAAAGAAAAACTTCCTAAAAATTAGAATTCTCAAAAATGTTAATGTGCCTCCTCCAGAGTTAATGAGTTCCCATTATGAGAGAGATCTAATGAAGCCTGGGTGATCATTTGTCCAGTATGTTCGAGGAGGGAGTAATTGTGTATTTGTTGGCCTAGATATTGGGGTTCCCTTCTACATGTGATCAGCCAATCATCTTAAAGATAACTGTAGTTTAAATGTATTCCATACATGAAAGAAAAGCGGTAGAATTGCCCAAAGTCAGGAGATATGGAGTGTCTTGTTTGAGGAGCATCAAGGAGGCCATTGTCATTGGATCATAGCATGAGGGATGGGGTGGAGTGCGTATGCTATAAGAAGACTGGAAAGGGGTGGAAGGACTGTGAAGGGCTTTGAATGCAAAACATGATTTTATATTTGATCCTGGAACACTGGAGTCTTTTGAGTGGGGCCTGGACGTGGCCAGTCCTGGGCTTTAGAAGATCACTTTGACATTTTGAATGGAGGATGAACTGGAGGTAAGGAGAGACTTGGGGCAAGCAGACCAACCAATAGGCGATTTCAGTAGGTGTAAGGCAATAAGAGCCTGCACTATAAACTTGTTAGACTATACAAAAGCCTCACATTGTTTGGTTTTTTCTTTAAGAAGATAATCAAAAAGCCCTAATAATAGTGAGCACTGAATGGATTCTTGAAAATGAAATTGTCTTTATCTTGACTACGTAACAGTGTGGGATTTATTTTGGCATTAGCCATCTTTGTATAGCTGGAACATAAACTTGAGAAAGTTCAAAGTAAATAGCAAATTAGAAAAAAGATGATGGTGAGAGGAACGCACTATGTATGACTACAGTGGCTGTAGTCTGATGAGTTTTAAGTTGTCAGCTCTGAAATATGGGAATAGATAAAAGGGATAATGTTTAGTATCACTTATTTATGGAGATGTTTAGCCATTGAACACCAGTCAGTACTTGGAAGTAGAGTAGAGCTTTGTAATTGATTTTGCCAACAAAACATCGATTCTTTCTGCCAGAGAGAGTGCTATGGTAACAGTGGATGAGGTCTTGAATACAAGCTCATTTGCAAAACTTTGGAAAGCAGGAAGACAGAAGATTTTTGAAGAGTACCACCTCACGAAAGAGAGAAGGAATTGAGGAAAATAAGTCTGTAAAGAATATGGCATGAGATTCAGCCAGATTATCTTGAGCATTTTATAAGTGATACTAGCAAGACAATAAATGGGTGCAAAATGAAACAAAATATGCCAACTTTTTTTTTTGACAGTGACTTAGCCTCTTTGGCAATGCAGTAAAACTGTCATTTGTATTTTACCTCTCTACCTGATGTACCAGGTGATGACATCGAAAAAGATATAGTAGGGAAGAGCTACTGGACCTAACAATGTATGTATAGAAGAAATCTTTGCTTGAGGCAAGACTTTTAATAGTTCGCAGATAATTTCCTTAGATTTCTTAAAGAAAGCGGAACAATGGAAAATACTATGGACAATGAATAAAGTACACCCTTCCTTCTATTCTTTCTTTGATACAATTACCCCCCCAAAACCCCCCCCCAACTCAAGATAACCACTTTCTGTGTATTTGTCTAAACATGTAGTGTTCTTATTGGAAACATGAGGAAACATATTTTCACAGATGATAATATTACACAGTATATCACATAGTTACTCATAGTTTTTCACAGCTGATAAGCATAGCTATTTTGACATCATGATGCACTTACTACTTAGGAAACAATTGTTTTTGCAGAACAAAATGTTACTTTGAAATTCTGTATATGGACAAGTTGTTTCTACTGTAATATTTTGTGACAAATCCAGTTAGAAATAGCAATAAGTAGGAATCTTTGGGTCCCATGCATCTAGCTATCAAGTCCCCTTCTAAACCTAGCTGTAGACTTCATAATACCGTCAAGAGTCTTAATACCACCCAGGTTTAGGGTTCACCTAGGCGTGTTCATTCACTACTTCCTTTCCTGAGATAAAGGCCAGGAAGATAAAACAATCAGAGATTTTTGGAAGGGATCTCAATAATCCATTGAGGTGAAATTTCAGTCACATTGTAAAACACCAGAATCCTAAATTTTACCTTGCACTTTACTTTGAATTGAATATTGAACTGCACTGACTTTATACAATTAGAAATGCTTTATATCCTTACCTTTCTGAAACTTAGGCTTAATGTCCTCTTTTAAATAGCTATATTCAGATTACATTTCTCCAAATACAGTTATAGTAATTATTCAGACAAAGTGTTATTTGGAATCCCAGTTAAGTGAAAACTTGCTCTCTCTTGGATATTATGTTTAATAAAGTCTTCATTAGTTTAATTTATTTAGAATTATTTTACACTAGAATATTGAATTCAGAATTTTCTTTTTAGGTATCTTAATGCAATTCAGACTATGTGTCCACATATTCTCCGCTATTTGACTACTGCAGTCATAACAAACAAAGATGTTCGAAAACGAAGACAGGTATTAAAAGACCTAGTCAAAGTTATTCAGCAGGTAAGATCAGGTCTCTTTTGAGAAGTTTTTTTTTCTTAAATGCTTTTATAATTCTTGTAAAAGGTGTGGGACAGTAGATATAGGACTATCCACAAAATGAGTTGACCTCAGTTGACAATCAGCAGCACATATTTGAATTCCTATTACGTGCCGCGAACTGTGTTGATATATTTTAACATGAGACAGTAACTGTCCTTAAGAAGCTTATATTTTATGGGGTGATTTCATCATATTTACGGGTAAATAAATGCAAATTTTTGAAGTGATAGCAGGATACTAACACCAAGAGTCAAGAAAGGGTTCTTGGATGAAATAGCACCTTATATAAACTTTGAAAAGAATTGTGGAGGTGCCAAGAGAAGAAAGTGAGGAGGGAAAGCATTCTAGTTATGATGAAAAGCCTGGAAAAAAAGGAGTGGAGATGAGAGAATTTCATGAACAAGGAAATAGCACAAAAGCCAGTTTGTCTGAAACAGAGTAAGAGAAATTAGTAATTAATAAACCTACAAAGATTAGTTGGAGCCAGTTTATGAAGACAGGTTCTTGAGCAGAAAAGTGGTATGCAGTCAGACCTATTCTTTTGTTTTTTATTTTTGGTAAGGCAAACAGGGTTAAGTGACTTGCCCAGGGTCACACAGCTGGTAAGTGTCAGAGGCCTGATTTGAATTCAGGTCCTCCACCATACCACCTAGCTGCCCCCAGTTAGATTTGGGAAGTGAGTGACAATAAAGAGTTGAGTATGACACTTACATTGCAGACCTGGGTAACTGGAAGAACAATCGTGCTCTTCACAGAAAAAGGGGAAGCTAAGAGTGTCAGGTAAGGTAGTGAATTCTCTTTGGACATGAGTAAATTTGAAATGTCTATGAAACATCTAGTTCATTGGGCTATATGAGATGTATGACTGAGGCTTAGAAGAAAGATGAGGTCTGTCTGGATGTGTAAATTTGAAGTCATCTGGGTATAAAGGATAGTTTAATTTGAATCCTTGGGAGCTGATGACATAAGAGAGAAGAAGAGAGGGCCCAGTATAGACCCTGGGGTATGTCCTATAGAGGAGTGTAATGAGATGGTTGTGGGGTAAGGAGGGTTGTAGTAGATGATGATTTTGCAAAGCACACTGAGATAGATCAGTCTTACAGCTAGGATGAAAGCCACAACAGATCAATATCTTGAAAACTCGTAGAGGAGAGATTATCCAGGAGGAGATGATCAGTAGTGTGAGACACAGCTGAGAAATCAAGAAGAGTTGAAGACTGAGCTAAGGCTATTGGATGTTGACATAAAGGGATTAATTGGTGATGTTGGAGATAGCAGTTTCTGTTGAATCCTGAGGATAGAAGTCAGATTACAACGGAGTAAATTAGTGAATAGAAGACTAGAGTGAAAGAAGAGGGTACAGACAGCTTTCTCTAGGAGTTGGGTATGAAAAAGAAAGACCAAAGATAATGGTTTGAGAATGGGAAAATGGAAGGTTTATTTTAGGGGTAAGGGAGATCTAGGCATATTTGTAGGCAGTAATGAAGGCCTTGAATAAATTTGACCAGAGTAAGTAATGGCAGAGGAGAAAACAAGAGATGTTAATATTATGTTACTATGTTTTTAACTCGATCTGATATTTCTTTGACTTATTTTTAAAGGAGTCCTACACATACAAAGATCCTATAACAGAGTTTGTTGAATGCTTGTATGTTAACTTTGACTTTGATGGTGCCCAGAAAAAATTAAGAGAATGTGAATCGGTAAGTCTGAACTTTAACTTGTAGTACCAACTCAGTCCATACTGATTATTTTCAGTAGGGTTATATAATTTTTAAATTATGATCATAGGTCCGTTTTTATCAAGATTTAAAAAGTTAACACTTCTTAAAGAAAACTGACAAAGGCAGTGATACCTATCCTGTGTTGGAAAGAGAAACTTGAGCAGGTATCTGAAAGCAACATGGTATAATGGGAAAAGTACTACAGTGAGGCATAAGGACCTGGCACAGATCCTGCCTTGGGCACTACCTTTGTCCTTGGGCAAGTCATTACTTAGTATCCTTGCACCTCAGTTTCTTCACTTGTAAAATTAGATATTGGTCTAATTAATTAGTCTTTTAGGTCCTGCCCAGCTTTAGATCTATGGTTGATTGAACTAGATTTGGAAATATGCAGAATATTTAGTACTTGGGGTGGTACTGAAGCAAGAATGGACCAGAGTTATTAGATTATGATTCCTAGAGATGAGATGATCTCAATATAGATTCAGACCCAGAAGGGACTTTAGAGATCTTCTAATCACACAGGGTCACCTAAGGTTAATGGCATTGCCAAAATTTGAACTTAAATCCAGCTGGTCCATGTACAGCACTCTCCACTGTCAGTGTTATAGATATGGTTTGGTTTTTCCTTGTCTACTAATAATATACTATATTCATGCCAATGATATGTTGTAAGCAATTTTTTTAAATCCATAAAAAATTAAATTTGTATATTGACTGTTCATAGTTAGGTATACGGATGCTTAAATATTAATAGGTGATTTTTATGATCCTGGCTGGATTTAGAACAAAATCTACTCGTTCTGCAGAAGGTAGTGGTCCAAGTAAACTTTTTCATACTATTGCAGATCCTTGTGTTGAATTCTTTACTTTCCCCTCGCTTTTCATTTTTCTAGCAGTACTACTGAGGTATGATATGTTTATGCCAGTGGTTCTCAAGCTTTTTGGTCTCATGTCTCACACTTATAAAATTTATTGAGGACCCCAAAAACTTTTGTAGATTATTTCTATCAATATTTCCTGTATTAAAAATTACAGGGTCTTATTATGAAAATAGTTTTGACCTCACAGACCTCCTGAAAGGGAACTGCTGGTTTATACAGTTGGAGGTTTGAACAAACAGGAACCATATAGCTTTATAGAATGTGAATTTTTATGAAGCTGAGAAAGAGCTAACTGAAAAATAGTTAGGAGAATCTGAAGAAAGATAGATGTGCATTATTTTAAGTAAATAATGCTTAAATATGTACTATTGTCAGGATACTCATTTTCTTTTTACATTCTTGAATTGAAAGGTTCTTGTAAATGACTTTTTCCTGGTGGCTTGCCTTGAGGATTTCATTGAAAATGCTCGACTGTTCATATTTGAGACTTTCTGTCGCATTCATCAGTGTATCAGCATAAGGTAGGCAAACCTTGGCTTGTATTCTTTCTTCTAAACATTCATTGAAACATCAGTCAATCAAAGAATATTTATGAATCTTCTACTATGTGACCAGCACTGCATTACATACAGATACAAAAAATGAAATGATCCCTACTTACAGTAGAACACAAGTACACATGAATTATATGCAGCATAAATATAAAGTGACTAAATAAAATGTGCATATATGTCTGTGTGTTTATATACACGCGCATACATTAGAATGTATGTATTTTATAGAGATATATACATTTGTAAACACAGGGCTGTGTGTGTATGTGTGTGAGAGAGAGATGTCCAACGAGGCTAGAAAGATTGGGAGTAGGTTGTTGAGGGGTTTAAAAGGTAAATAAGTTTATAGAAAGCCATTGGGTTTGGTTGAATAGGGATTCATGTGGTCATTTCTGGATGTAAGGAAAATTGCTTTGTTAGCAATATATATGATGTACTGGGGTGAGTTCAAGCAGGGTGACCAATTTGGAGACTTGGCAATAATTAAGAATAGATGTGGTCTGGAACTAAGGTTTGTAGCTCTGAGTAGAGAGAAGAGATCAGATGTGAGAGATGGTGTGAAGATAGAGTGGCAAGAATTGGCAAATGATTGGATATGTGGTGAGTAGGAGAGTGAAGAGTAGGGGATGATGCTGAGATTGTGAACCTAAAACATTGGAAGTAATTCCTTCAGTAGAAATAGGGAAGTTGGGGGGGGAGTTCTATTTATAATAAAACCTCAGAAATATAATCCTGTTATCTAGAGATATATTTGCTGTCTCTTCCCCACCCTCCTACCCCCAAGAATAAAATTGGCACAGTTCTGACATGTTCCTTGGAAACCATGGGTTCAATCCAATCTCCTGTAGATTCTGCTTGAGTTGTACATGATTATTTATGCTCAGAATGATGGCCGTAAGTGTATTGCAAGGCTCTGTATTATTAAAAAATCTTATATGATTAATTTGTTTTATATTTTTTGAAATAAAAATGTGGAGTAATACATACTAGATGTTCGCTAACAAGAATAATACGAGTTTTTGTTCAGCTCTTTCAGTTCCAGTTAGCCAGAAATTCATTTAATGAGATCACATCTTCTGATGTTCCAGTTATTAGTGTTTGTTATATTTTTCACATATGAATCATAGAATTGACACGTCTATATTTATCTTTTTGCCAAAAAAAGGTATGAAGTTTATTGTGTACTAATTATATTTCTTATGTATAAGCTTAAATAAATTTTTTTTTCTGAAAGAATTGATGACTCATTGACAATATAGCATAACATTTTGAATTGATTGAATATTTGTAAATTAATTGGTATGTCATTAGTATTTGAATATTAACTAGTTGTCTCTGGGCCACAGAGTCTGATTATTATGCCTATACAATCAAATGCTGCCATACTCAATTGCATTTTTTTTTAGTTCTAACTTTAATATTTGCTGTCAGTCTGGCATATTCTTTAATTTATTATTCCTATAAGTGTGATTTTCTTCTATATAGGCCTTTCATATTTGCTTAATGGTTTCCCACGTGACCAGCAGCACACATTAATTAAAGTGTCTTTCAGAAGGTAGGGATGTAGTCTCTGGCAGTTGGACCTGAGTTTTTCTGGCTCATGTAGGGATTAAATTCATGTCCTTAGTTTCACTCATTCTGTAGCCCACTGAATTAAATGGTGGCTAGTCTGCTTCTCTTGGCAGATGACTATGTGTGCCTAATGTGATTTTATTGGCTATAGAAGGAAACAATAGGTGTATCATTTCTAGAACTCTGGTGAATAACAAACTAAATTTTCCTTGCTATGGTTTTTTATTTATTTCTAAGCCTTGTAATGAAAGCCTTAAGGAAGAGCTTAAATTTTTGGCTTCTCCCCTGGTGGAATTTTCTCCATTCCTGGCTAGCCTTCTGTTGTTTGGCTCTTGTCCTTGGGTTGGAACGTCATCTCTTCTGTTCTTACTAATGTTGAGAGAACTGTAGTAATATCCACCATGCTTTTATCCTCTGTGTTCTGCATTAAGATACCCATAATCAGAAGACCTAGGTACTGTCCTTATCTCCTCAATTTGCAGTATAATTTTAATTGAGTGTCCTCAATCTCCCTAGTCCCTTGTTTCTTCTGTAAAATGGAGATAATAATGTTTTCCTTGCATACCTTACAGGGTGGTTGTGAGGCTCAAATGGGAATAATATATGTGAAATAATTTTGAAAACTTGAAACCACTATAACAAATACAAGGTGATATTATCTTTAATCTTTCCTCCAGTTTAAATATGTACACACATACATATATATACATATATATATATATATATATATATATATATATATATATAATGTACTGTTAATCAGTTTTAACTTACTAGTAGGATATCTTAGTTTGAACCTTTTAAAGAATCATAGAATCTCAGAGTTGGAAGAGATAAACCCAAACCCTATATGAAATATGAATCCTTTTCACTATGTCCTTATTAAGTGATCATTCAGCCTTTGCCTAAGTTAGACTGTTTAATCTTTGTATAGCTCTAATTGTCAGGAGGGCAGCTTGGTGGCACAGTGCATAGAATTCCAGGCCTGGACTCATCTTCCTGAATTCAAATCCAGCCTCAAACACTTATTAGTTATGTGATTCTGGGTAAGTCACTCAACCCTGTTTGCCTCAGTTTCCTCATATGTAAAATGAGCCAGAGAAGGAAATGGCAAACCACTCCTCTATCTTTGCCAAGAAAACCCCAGATGAGATCATGAAGAGTCAGCCACAACTAAAACAACTAAACTATTCTTAGGAAGTTCTTCCTTAGTGGGCAAGTCGTAAAAGCAGTGAATTAGAATCTAAAAGACTTGGCTTAGAATCCTGGCTGTCTTTTACTGTGTAACTTTGAGCAAAACTTTACATTTCTCTAGGGAAAATGAGGTAGTTGGACTGTACTATCTCTAAGGTCACTACCTTCATTGGCTGTTTTAGTGGCAGTTGTTTGAAGATTGAAGCCTGTATCGTGAAATTATTGTTCTTGGAATTATAGCCCCCTAGTGGCAAGGTATATGAGGAAGAAAGGTGAAGTGAAGTGATTATGGTGTTAAGTTGTTGTTGGTACAGACTTATGTAGAGATGGCATGTGTTATCCCCCATGAGAATGGTAATGGGATTCCAGAATACAGTTTTTATGAGGTGGCTGCTAGGGTATTAAATCCCGGACTGCCCTAGTTTTCTTTTTCTTTTTCTTTTTTAAATTTTAAGGCTGATTTCGTAGAGTTTTAAAATGTTATAGAAGTATTATTAAGACTTCCCTGTGACGTCTTAATTGTAACAAAACCTCTTTTTAGAGGTCCCCAATGATTTGGAATTTATAGTGATCTCTGAGAGATTAAAATTTGTCTTTGTTCTATTAAAAAAAATAAGTAATTTTAGAAGATAACTGTTTAACCTTCTTGAGATAATAGAACTATTTAATCTTCTAGTTATCCCATATACTTTCATACACCAATGTCCTTGGACTAGATGTATATCTTTTTCAAAGAGAAAATGTAAAAATACACTCTGGCTATCAAAATTGGAGGGCATTAATAGCCATTTAAAAGTAATAAAGTGATACCTAAAATTAAGGTAATTGGGACTTTTTATGGCCCTACCAATGAGAAATAGAATAGTGAATGGTGCTGTCATCACACAATAGGGAAAATCTGGGGACAATAGGGAAGATCTGGGCTTAATTCTCAGTTCGTAATGATATGCTTCTGGACAAGTCACTTAACCTCAGATTGTTCCAGGCAACACTCTTATGATTAAATCACAGGATAGGCGCTGGTTGCATTGGTCTAGGGAGTTCCTTCAGTTGTTATTTCCCCACACGAAAGACCTCTAAGTCTAGACCCAAATAAAAATCATCCTAGGCTTGTTTTATTTTATTCCTCAAGAAAAGTTTAAAAAGCTAAATTCCTTCTTTCTTAGTAATAGGAGTATGAAGTATTATCTCTATCTTTATCATATATGCAAGTTAAAATCAAGAAATTGAATTTCAAGTGACTTTCCTCTTGTTAACATAGCTCAGTAAGTGTTGGAATAGGATTCAAAATCAGATTTTCTAAGTCCATTATCCTGTTGTCAGTGTTGCTCATCTGGGACCGTTGCTTTTTACCTCAGACTGTGGAGAGGGAAAATAGTCAAGTAAATACTGTGCAAAATGTGACATTTTAACAAATATTAATGAAGAATACTTTGCTAGGTGCTGTAGGAAATATAATGTCTAGATGGGACAGGACATGCTTTTCATGTTCTTTACGTAGTAGCTTATAGTGTAGCATTATGAAGTGACCAAATTACATTTCTTTCCAGATCTTTTTAATTACTACTATAGTAGCCTTTTCCTGTAGTTCACGTTAATCCACTTACATTAGTTTGTGGAAAAGCAAAAGGAAGAATTTCTTCTGTTCCCTTCCTCCCTCCACAAATGCTTTCAAGTGTAAAGTATGTGTTACATTACTCTAAAGCCCAATGGTAATTTGTTAAGCATTTTCCATTTGAAGTTTGACATGTATGCAGAATTAGCATATTTCTTTACTAAATATCTATGAACATATGTATGGGAGTCATATCTTTGGAAAAGTGCATATGTAGAACATTTTTATCAGTTTATATACAGTCGTAGATTTGTAGGATAAGATTTAAATTGATTTACCACTGGAGTGTACAACATCTGCCAGAAAAGATTACTATGGTGAATAGTATTAAATTTAATATAGCTGAATAGTTTATCAGATACTAGTGTGTGTCTGATATTTAAAGGCTGTTTTAAAATAATACTTGCAACAGGTTTTATTTGTAGATAATAATATGAAAGTGATATTTTAAATGTTTATCATAAACATACTTTAAGTACACATTGATAGTCCCTAGTGGAGTTAGTTTTTTTTCCTTAAGTGAGGTGTAATTGTCAGCTCCTCTTTAAGTTTTAAACCTAGTGTGTTTTGCCTACTTTAAGTGATA